CAGACCACCCGACATTTCGCGTCGGTCGCCAAGCCAACGACTTCCATCAGCCCGCGAGTTTAAGAGCACCCCCTGTGTACCTTCGGGTGCTGCAGCTCCAGGTCGGCCCACGGTCGCATCCAAGTGGAACTCCGCAACACGGGTCTGGCTCACGACCGCGGACGCTGCTGGTCGATCAAGTAGCTTGACGATGGACCACATAGAAAAAGAAAAACCCATAGTGGTAACCCCGGTAATACACCGCCTGACAGAGTAGTGAGTGGACAACACATTTTCATTTTAAATGCCATGTACTGTACAGAGCATGCGGCAGCCTTATTTGTGGCTTGGAGAATGCACATAGTTGCGCCACGGTTGGCGCCTCTCACTTGGGTTGCGCTTCGCCGACGGCGACGTTTTGGGCTTTGTCAGTGGCAGCACGTGAAAGTATTTCAGCGAGCACGTTGCATCGCGTAGCACGGGCGACGCTAATACGGCAGCAATATAAATTTCCATGAGCTGTCGCCCATGCGTTCGGTCTTGCTTTTGCGTGCGCGGCAGCACGGGGCAGGGTACGCGGTGGCGTGCTGCAGTATCCTCCAGATAACCATGGTAACGCTCGCAGCGAACATGGTCACGAATGAGCTTGAGCTTGCGGTCGCCGGCTGCGTCGAAAACCGTCACGTGGAACTCAAACTTGTCTTCAATCGGGAAGAAGCGCGTGACGATCACTGTGTACGACGCTGGCGTGTCGTCTTGGTTTGAAGTGCTGTGATCACGTACGTCGTCGTCGTCCCCGACACTGGGGCATTTATCGAAAGGCCGAGCCTCCCACAAAACACTTGGCAAGAGTAGTAGCGCTGGTGGACGTTTGAGAGATAGCAGTGGAAGCAAATCGTCGCTTTCACTCCATGGCACGTTGTTGTCAACGTTGTTTTCCGCGTCATACAGTACCTCGAGGTCGATGGTATCGAGGCTCGCATTGCGCACATGACCACGAGTGGGCACATACGCAATCGTTGTAGCGCGTTGGTGTGTATGTTTGACGATGCCGTCGGCCGTTGTTGGATGCTCGACGACGTTGCGCATCAATGGTGCATATCCATCGCTGTTCATGGACATGGTCTGGCTGCGCATCTTCGCAGTCGCTGGCTTGTCGTCATGTTCGGCCTCCCCCGAGAAGCAGCAGCCCAGTGTCTGGCCCATGATGCCCTCTCTTGCTATTTGAGTGGAGTGTTCGGGTGGATTCGATCCGGACAAGATATGCGACCATTCTAAAAAGCGAGCCTGATTTGAGTACAGTATACGTAAATCGGGATACAAGTTGCATATCGTTTTGGCACAACCGCTTTGAACTTGTACTAGTCGACCAAGGCGCAATCGAAGTGGCTCGCAATGGTAATTCGTTTCTCTTCAACCGATGGTTAATGGAGACCATCAAACACTCGGATTTACATGTACCTCTTCGCCATCAAACGCGTCTCTTTTTTCTGAACCAGCAACTCCAAAACGATGCATTTCTTGCTTTCGCGATGCATGAAATATACTGATAAGTCAATGGCGGATTTACAAAATGCTGACAAGCCTTGGCAGACTTGGACGACGGCAAACCAGCGGTGTCTGCACGAGGAAGAATTCCTGCGTGACCTTGGCAGAACGAACGGCGGGAATCGCAAGGAGGTGCTCCAGGAAGTCCTGCATGAACGACGTCGACTCCGCGTTTGATACCTCTTTAGAGCGCAGCAAGCCCGCCTTGGGAGGAAACGGCGGCAACGGGCAACGTACAAAGTGCTTCAGGGACGCATACAGCTTTTTGCACTCGCGCCGGGTTTTTGTCACGACGAGCACGGGGTCACTTCCGACTTGGACGTGGAAGACGTATACACTACCCTTTCCAAAGCGCAGTGTGAATGACACGGCGCGGACAGTGAACGAAGCTGGCGGCAAGGAGCCATCAACTGTCGTCGGTGCGTCCATGCTCGTTGCGCGCTTCCGAGTCATGCTTTCATGATCGCGGTCGCATTTGGCGGCCAATTCGACCAGATGTCCGAGGCTCTGGGAGCGCTGGCGCACAAAGACATGGAGGGTAGTCGGTGTTGGGTCGATCGAGGGCACTCTCTGCGCCAGCGTTGCATCTGGGAGTGTGGCTCTTGATCCTGGTGTGGGTGCGTCTGTCGCAGGTGATGGCTCATCCATGTCGAGGACGTCTTCAAGACTCATGGTCGTGCCGAGGCCCGCGTGCGTCACGTGCTTGATCACAGACGCCGGGTCCGGCGCGCCCGTGCACCAGCTCGCGATGTTGCCCATCCCGTTTGTGGTTGAACTTTGCCGCGATCTTTTGCACGTATGATTCGTCGCGCTGATTGGTTGAAATTCCACCTTGATGAGGTACTTGAAGGTCGCAGATTCAATTGGAAATAAAACATGAAGTTTGAACTTGTATTTTGTATGAACTAGTCGTGCCGTTGCCAAAGTATTTTAATAGTCTCGTTCCAAATTCACATACAAACAAGAAGTACAAAGAACGAATTATACTCATTGTATTAATTGAAGTTGACGGTTTATCATCTCTCGGTCTATTTGCCGTTTGAAGAGATGGGCCAAGTCGTCGGATGGTGTCTTGGCGACGCCGAGGCCGAGGCTACCATGCGCAAGCAGAAGCCGTCGGCGCAAACAGCTGGCGCTGAGCCGTCGGAGGTCCGCAGCATGGGCTCGGGCGAAATCTACCGATCGCGACCCAAGGCGATCCTGTCGTCCGGCCCGATGTACGCTGTCGGCTCTTTTGACAGCAAGTACAAGCTGCTGTCTGTCATCGGTGCGATGACCATCACGCGCTTGTGGGATACAAAGCTTGCGTGACTAGGCAACGGTAGTACGTCCATCTGCCACCTCTGCGAAGACAAGGCGACAGGTGCCAAGTACGCGTGCAAGATCATTGACAAGCGCGCAGTGCAAAGCAAGAGTGACGACCTTCTCGAGCAGTTTCAGGTATAGTTGCGCGATTCAAGTCGTTGGTCTTACTGCATCTTTGCCGTAAGGTGGAGATCCAGGTGTTGCAGTCGCTCAGCCACCCAACATCATCCACATGGAGGACGTCTATCAAACGGACAACCGCATATCGATGGTCACAGAGCTTATGGAAGGCGGCGAGCTTTTCGACTACATTGTCAACAAGGGGTACGGTTTGAATCGTTGACATAGTAGACAGCAATTTGATTGTCGTAGGACCCTCTCGGAGATTGAAGCGAGCTGCTTGGTGCGCAAGATCACGTCGGCGCTTGCCTATATGCACGCTTGCGGCGTCGTTCACCGGGATCTCAAGCCAGGTCAAGCTCCGCTACATAGTATTCGCCTCTGGTTGCGCTCATGCATGAAATAGAAAATTTGTTGCTGACGAGCAAGTCGCCCAACGCTGAGGTCAAGATTATTGACTTTGGCCTGGCCAAGCTACTGCACGATAACCAGACGCGCTCGTTCTTGGGCACAAGAGTTCGTCTTCCCACAGAAGTATTGACAGTGAATAGCGCTAATCAAATCGCTTAGGGCTACCTTGCGCCCGAGATGCTGCGGCGCCAGAGCTACAGCAAGTCAGTGGACGTTTGGGCCCTCGGTGTTATCGTGTACGTGCTGCTCTGCGGCTGTCTCCCGTTCAACGATGACGGAAGCAAGATCAACAGCGACAAGGCTGCTCGCGTACGAAAATCTTCGCATGGTGGATGTGACGAAATTTATGCCTCGCACAACAATAGGCCAAGTTTGGCTTACGTTTCCCTCGCTGGTCCAGTGGGCTCTCGGACAGTGCCAAGGACCTCCTGCACCACCTTTTAGGTTTGGATGAGTATATATGTAAGGTTTCTGATCTCATACACCTTAGAGGTTGACTCGGAGAAGCGCTACACCGCCGAACAAGCTTGCTTGCACCCGTGGGTGACAGGTCAGCGCACACCCAATAAGTACCTCGAATCACCGAACCACCTCAAGTCGATTCGCCTCCGCCGCAAGGTGGCAAATGATGAAAAAACCATTAGCGGCCGCCGCCTGTCGCACTAACGTCGCCATAACTTGCATTCTATTTGGCTATCGTTGCTTCTACGTGTTCCTGGTACCAAGAGCATAATTCTTCGTTTTCGTCTCTCGGAGGCACATTCATGGATGCACCACAATACAAGCTTGGCCGTACTACAGGTCGCACCCAGTGGGCAATACAATTAACACGAGAAGGGACCACATCGTCAAGGGACCGGCATCCGGTCACAAAACACACAAGGGAGCCAGCGCTACACAGTAGCTTAGTCATACCGCCCTGCATAACGGGTATTCAGGCTCAATAAATACACCGTCGGTAATTGCACCGGTGTTACATTACGACTTAATACGTAGCGTCGGGGATGCGGGACCTACGTAGCGTGGCCGCCTTGCAATGAGAATGGCCGCGATCTCGGGCGCGACGCGGTGCTTGGACGCGCGGAGACTTGCGTCTGTGAAGAAGGGAAGCGCTTTTTGCCGCATCATCTCCCAGCTCTCGAGGAAGCGCACGTAGCGCATCTCCGCGTGCGAAAGCACGTGTTCGATGTGGTCTCGAAGCCGGCGGTGTGTTTGCAATAAACTCACAGCCTCGGTGAGTGCACTGCGCGCGGGTAGTGAAAATGATTGCGGTAGCTGCTGCGCTGAGAGACCTTCCTTCAGAACCAGCTTCAAGTGTGTCGTAAGCTCCTTGCGCAAGTCGCGTCGTAGTGCAATCTCCTTTATAATCGTTTGAGGCACGACACTGCCGTGGCGAAAAGCTTGCGCCATTCGCTGCAGCGAAAGCTTGCCTTTCGCGCCCCGATGTCGTAGCTGCAGCGACCCGAAACTTCGCTTCGCTGTCGCTACCATGAGCCCTGGAAAACTGCGTTTCTGGTACGCCTTTGTCAGCGTCGAGTGCCGAGTTGGCGACAGTGATTTTGTCTTGATTCCACCCACGGAAAGACCAGTCCCCACAGAGCGGACGCGGGGCTGAGGCGATGGATCGGGTCGACGCAGTGTAGCGTGGTACGTGACACTTGCTCGATGCATCTTCAGCAAAACGCGTTCTAAGGCAATGCTCACGGTGTAGCTGTGCTCCCAGTGGCGCCACGCCATCGTCATGTGTGTGATGAAATGGTTTGACCAGTATGTGGCCGGATCGCGCTTTGTGATATTGGTGAGAATGTGGTCCATGACATGCGTGAGAATGCAACCGACGATTGTATCGCTGAGCAAAGCCGGTGCAACACCCGCGTGGTGGACCAAAAGAGTAGCCAGCGGCGCAAGTTTGTGCCGGTCGCAGATCATGGGACCCCATTCACGGCGAGGAACCACCGTCACAACATGACCGAGTGATGCAGCCGCAGCCGCAACGACATCTTGTCGGTGGTGGGCACAAAGCGTACAGAGCACGAGTATTTTTCAAAACACCGAGGCTCTATCCCAAAACACATAAACATTTTCCAAAACACATAAATGCTAGGAAATGCTAGGATGTGATTGGCCGTCACCTCTAGTTTAACCGGACAGTGGATTATGATTACGCATCAAAAAGGACCCGATGCCATCCCCGCAGCGCGGGGATGCTTATACCTCCGGGGGAAAGGTGGTGTTGGTAGCAGGGCTTGGTGTGGTTATCCGTGGGGGTGTTGGGGTGAGAGGGAGAGAGGCAGGGTATTAAGGCTGGTGAGCAATAGGGTTTTTTTGGGTAGAGAGGGATATGTGCTTAGGAAAGCATTTATGTGTTTTGGGAGAAAGTCTCGGTGCTCAGAACGGGACTCGACGACGGCTCGCGCCTTTACGAACGGCGCATCGAAGATCGAAATGGACTTCCTGAGCGCGTGCTGCAAGATTGGCACCAAAGCGACCCCATCAAGGCGGGTTGTTATGCACTGAAGCGTGTGCACACTCGACCGGCGCGGTACGACCGACGATGTTGTCATTGTTGCCGAGCTGCGCGTTGCGTTGCGTTCAACAATGTCATGCGATCGACTACGTGTGACGTTGCAGTATATCAGTACCTCGCACAATCCGACGAACCGATAACGTTACTTGGGGTCATATATGCTCGATCGGCGACGCTCGACAGAATCACGGCCGAGCCAGAGACCTTTAGGTACGAACGGAGGCAAATCTTCGAGTGCCTGAAGAGGAAGACAATGGACATTGACGAGATGCCACAGAGCTTGGCACGTGTACGCCGCCAAAAGACCGTCCTCGACACCCGCGGGGACGAGTAAACATTGCTGCAGAAGTGTCACGATGTGCAAAAGCTGCTGCACGCGCCACTTTGTGTGGTCTTCGAGTACGACACTAACGACAGCGACCGTACGTACGCGGTAGTTGCTATGGCTCAGCGACTCTACAAGTGGCAGATTGGGAATGTGGAAGTAGTTCGCCCGCTTGGAGTTCACACGCCACAAAACCACGGCAATGAGCGGGTAGCAAGTGCATGCAATTCCAAAGATGATGGTCTTCGTTCCGTTGGAGGACGCAATGAGCTCGACGAAGACCAGCATGTGGGATACATAGCACGAAGTCGTGAACGAAAGCGATCGCAAGTTGTTGGGGAATCGTCCCGACCCCAAACACTACGCATTGTAAAAGTAGACTCAGGGATGATTTCGATGCTCTTGGGGCGTACGGGCTGGTAGCGGTAGTTGTACCGGAGCAGGCAGGCCATAATGGATCCGTTCACGCAGCCAAAAACGAGGTTGATAGACGTCTTGTGAACGCCACCGTCCCGCGACAGTAAAAGTGTTGCTGTCATGTACTGCAGACAGCACGCTACAAGCCACATCATCTGAGCGGTGCAATATGGAATGGTAGAGTACTGGTGCGGGTCATTGTCATGAGCGATGAAAACGACGTTTGGTATCGAAACTGCGTCGCAAACACCTCGTCTGTAAGTTGGACCTTGTACTCCAGTGCGGTGAGGTAGAAGAGGCAGAAGAGCAATGCACCAACGCCCGCTGTAAGCCAGACGCGATCGCCGCACGCACACGTTGCGCCCGCAACCACAAAGCCATCCAGTGGCCCCGCGCACGAGAGAATACCGAGAATGGCGTACATGTATACAAGGTAGAGCGCGTCGTAAAGGCACGGAAGGAGAACCTTGGCGCGCAGAACGATGATACATCGAAGCCGAACGCATGTGGTTAGCATGAGAAACAAAAAGAGCCCCGTGAGCAGCGCGGCCCGGTACACCTTGGGAACAAACGTCACGGCGCGAACGTGAAGTACCCTCCGACGTGTACCTCGGTGGCAGGAGACGTAGGAAAAGCCAGGGTACCGTTGAAGTCGTAGTAGAGCAGTTGAAGCGGGAGGTAGCTGAACCCTGGGAGCTCAGCCCACATCGCTGCGAGTGTGAGAAGCCGGCGCGGGTCGGTGATCGTGCGACCCAGTACGATGTGTTTTTGCCGCGCGGCAACGATTCCCAGCGCTAGTAGTGACATCATTTATAAGCTTGTTTGAAGCATACGGCGATCCATTACCTTGTGCTGGGATGTCGTGAAGGTCGTCGATTTGGAGCCGAAACTCTTCCCACATGCGTGTGTAGAGCACAAAGGCAACGGTCAATATCAGAAACAGACCCCATGCAGTGAGTGGCAGTGCGAAATGAAGGGAATCAAGGCCACAAGCAGTCCACTGTGTACGCGAACACGCGCCGCCTCCGTCCTCGGAGCTGCAGGCATTCATGGATGAGATAGTACCACTTGCAAAGGCTTCACGATCCTTACATAGATATAGCGTTTACTAGTATACTGTACGCGATTCCTATTTTTAGGAAAAGGCACTATGACTGTGCTGCTACCAACAGTAGCTACCGCGCTCGGCGTGGTCACCACCATAACCTTGGAGCGCTGGCGGCCGCATCTCTCGTCTAGTACTTTTCAAACACTGTCAGGTATGCTGCTTTTCAGCTCCCATACTAGGCTTCATTTGGTGTTAAACGAGCGGTTGCGTAGACGCTGCAAAGCGCCAGACGCTTTCTTCGCGTTGGCTCCAGCTTCACGGCACAATCTATCACATAGGTGCTGCCCTGGACGCTGTGGTCTTGAATGCTGGCGCACTTTGTGCTGCGTTTGGCGGGGCCCTATGGATACCCGCGGCAAACTATTTGGGCTTCTACGTGAGTGCGCTATCTGGTATAGCACTCGTGCCCCCGCTCCTAGTGTGTTTTTGCAGAAAGCGATCGCATTTTGCTCATCTCTTGGCGTCAATCTGGGTCGTCGCGCTACATCCATGGCACGTCTACTGCCTTGTTATGATCCCCGACACGTCGTCATGGCCCGTGATGGTTGCCGCCAGCCTAGCTCTTGCTGCAACTATTCTCTTTGTGCAGCTGTATGAGCCGCTCGATCTGGGCTGGAAAGAGCACGCTTCGTTTCGTCGATTTTTGCACCTTCTTCGACTGTCACAGATTTTGCGCTCGTCCATGAAGCCTTCGACGATTGTTGCGATTCTCTCAGCGATAGCTTTCGCAAGCGGTGCCGTCTCGATTTTTATCTACTTCCAGTAAGACCTGATTGTCATCACTCGTCATCCAATTGCCCTTTGCATGCTTGTGTAGTATCAAGGTGCCGGCCTTCATATGCACTTGCTTTGCGCAGCCATGCTTGCTGCTGCTCTCGGTGTTTCGACTCTCCAAGCTATCGCAGACTACACCGCGATACCATCTTACACGATGCTTGTCGTACCTACTTCTCTTGGGGCCATTGCAACCGTACTCATGCTCAAGCGGGCCTCGCTGTCACATCTCCCATGCTCGCTTCGACACGCTGCAGCGCTGTGCCATTCCAATCTATCTGTACGCACAGTTGCGTGTTTGTCGATAGCGGCTGAGGCGACGACATTCCAGCTTCAAGAAGCCGCTGGTCTCGTCGAGCAGCTGCATTTCATTGAGACCATTTCGGTTCTAGACCTCAACGGTCTGCCCGTTGCCGCCGCGTGCGAAGCATACGTCGCTCTGTCGTCGTTTGACGACGCAGCACGTGCGCCACTCGAAGAAGAGGCGGACGGAGAAGGGCGTGAACAGAACGACGAAGCATCTAACCTTATCAGGTTTGGGCTCTGGCTGTCCCCACCAGGTGCCCGCATTGCGGGTGTCGTATCATTGGACCGACGCCAAGCTGAATGTGTTGTGTCCTTAACTCTTGTCCTTGCTGCGTCGCCACACCCCAATCATGCCGACGCCCGCTACATGGCTGCGACGACCGCCATCGCACTCTACGCGTTGAATGCACTCTGCTTGCGTACGACGACGTTTCTGCTGCATTTGTGCACGCTGTGTAGCCGTCTACCGACCACCACGACCGCGATCCGTAGCCTCCAGCAAGCTGCAGCAGAGACAGATCCCGCGCTGCTCGTGAACGCGCTGACGTCCCCGATCGCTGTCCAAGCATTAGCGCAATTCTTGGCATTAGATCACGTCGACGCATCAGACGTGTGCTTCGTAGCACGAGTGCTATCAGACGTCGTACGTTCTTGGCATTCTTGGGTTTGATGCCACCCATCCAATGCCGTAGGCACACCACATCCTGGGGAGCGACGTGGACCCTCGGCCATTCTTAGGTCAAGAGGTCACGAAAAATCTTCAAGTCGCTTGGGACAAGTGGCACTCGTCGCATTACTTTATCGCAGTGGCGCTTGAGAGCGCGGTGACATCGTTCCACACCGCGTGCGATGCCGTCGAGCGCGGCGATGCCGCGCGCACCGCGTTGACAAATAAGCGCCCGCGCTGCTGTGGCTGGCGCATTGCAACGGTTCGCCCAACGACGTGGATCGAGGCAGAGATGTGGCAAGACGTGCAGGCGCGACAAATCTTGCGCGACCAGTTCGTTGCAGCGGTCGCGCGCGTGCTCGATGAGGGCTGGGCCGAGCAGCTGCCGCCGTCACGTCTCTCTAGTACCGGCCAAGCGAAGCTGCAAGAGATTGCACGCGCCATGCGCACTCACACATTTCTGCTTGGGCATCTCTACGAGACGTTTCCCGTGGCCGTTGTGGCATACGTGCGCCAGCTGGATCTTCTGCAAGCACTTGCCCCACCAACGAGCGTGATATAGATATAAATTATCAGAGGTCTCAAGCACACCGGCATTATGCACTTGTACAGTATATCCACTCTCAACCAGGATGCCTGTGTTCACGACGACCGACGGCTGTCGCCTGGCCTACGACGACACCGTGGCCTCGTCACCAGCCAACGCACCCGTTGTCCTCTTTCTCCATGGATGGAGCGCGAGCCGCCGGTACTTCTGCCGCAACGTCCCGCAGCTCCAGGCGACCTGTCGTGTTATCTGTCTCGACATGCGCTTTCATGGCGAGTCGGACAGCCCGGCGCATGGCATGCACATTGCGCGTTTAGCCGCTGACGTCCGTGAGCTCGTGCTAGGCCTAAACCTGGACAAATCCAAACTCACGCTCATCGGTACGTCTATGGGCTGCGCTGTCATTTGGAGCTTCGTCGAGCTCTTTGGCAGTGCTAGCGTGCGCCAAGCCATCTTTGTCGACCAGCTTCCTCTGCAGAATCGGCGCGAGGACTGGCCGCTTCACGGCTATGGGTGCTACGACGAAGCGAGCTTGCAGGGCATCGAGCACACGCTTGCGACCGACTTGCCCGCGATTGCCCAAGGCAACCTCGACAGCTGCCTTGTCCGCGACGACGTGCCGCGAGATATTCTCGATATTCTGCGCGCTGACGTTCTACAATGCAAGCCAACAGCGCTCGCAACACTCATGCGCGACCACACGCAGATCGACTGGCGGCCACTTCTACCCACGATATCAATTCCGTGCTTGAACCTCCTCGGCGGCCCAAAGAACAAGGTCTTCCCGATGGCTGGCGCCCTCGTCGTCGGCGACACGATCCCCAACTGCACCAACGTCGTCTTTGAGCGTTGTGGGCACTGGCTTTATCTCGAGCAGCCCAACGACTTCTGCCAGCTTGTCCAGGCGTTCGTCCATGATCGCCCGTTGCCAGTGTCGTCATCGAACGGGCTCGTCGTGTACAACAAGTAGCGTATTGACGCGGCTCCAATAGCCATGCAAATATAGTACATGCACACTAACTACCATCTTGTCCGAATGGTTGGGTTGCTCTCGCTGGGTCAAGGCTGCGAACGTGCACTGATGCAGCATTCGCAGCAAGTCATGTTCACGCAGCTTCAGAAGATTGTATCATGACACTATCTAGTGTCCTTTTGCTTCAACCTATAGTCCCGTGAAGCGACATCGCCAGTTTGCACAACCTGTACACCTACTTCAGAGCCTTTGCGCAGCGCTGGACCAAAGCATCTACAATCATGTAATCTTTCTCTGAACCGCGAACGAGGTCCGGGCGCTTGCAGTGCCTGGCCATAACGAGCTCACAAAGCCGCCAAATCATACACTATTCAATGTGTCAAGGTCCTGAAATAGTATGTGAGCACGGTTGTGCATTGGCACCAGTGGATTTCGTTGGTCGAACGGTTTTAGAAAAAACAAGATTGTATATTATTATACCATGTACTTGATATTACTATGCAAAGGAAAAAATGGGCACCGTTTTTATTGTGCGCCAAACCGAGTCCATTTCGATCTTGCAAGATGCTGCGCCAAGGCCGCGGGTGTGTCGCCGCGCTCCGGCAGCGCTCGCTTGCGCTTCGCCGACCGCTGACGGTGCGAGCCTTTGCCACATGGGACCACAAGCGAGACGCCCCAGCGATGCCCAGAAAGGCGACGCCGTCTACGCTAAAGCCGCTGGCGTTCGAGGCCGCACCCGTCGCCGCGACGCCATTGACGCCCGCAGACCTTCACAGTGTCGAGCCTGTCAAGCTCATCCAAGAAGAGAAGATGCCGTTCCGCGAGATCGAAGACGACGGTATTGCCGTCGACTTGACGTACTCGGCGCGGCGTATGGGCTTTCCGCACTACGAGAACGAGTACGTGGAGAAGCCGGGCACGGACGTGCGCGAGGAGACGCGGTCGGACGCAACAGTCAAGGCTGAGCGCGTTATGGCAGTCTTTCGTCGGAGCCTCAATGAGCGCACGACCAACTTTATCTTGCGCAAGCTCAGCATCTACACGACGAACCCGAAGCCTAACAAGTACTCGGTGACGCGCTTCTTTGAGAGCCTCGAGGAGCTCATGCGCGACGAGTACCCGAAAGAGTACGACTACTTGCGTGCGTTCCTCTGCGCAAAGGACGTTGAGCAGTCAAGTCTTGATGCGTCGTCGCTCTTGCACCCGGACCACCCTCTCTACGATGACCTGTGCCGCGTGATCCTTGTGCACTGCCGCCGCGTTTGCATCATGACGCACGTGCGCCACTCGCTGAAACGCCCGGCGTCGTCGCTTCCGCAGCTCAAGCGACAGCTGCACACGCTCCTCCGTGCGCAAGGCTGGGAAGATATGGTCTCGTACTGCGGCATTAGCGCAAAGTCGACTACCGAGCCGACGGAAGAAGAGCCCCTTGACGAGTGGGACCTCATGTCGCTCGAGTCAGACCTTGCCGACTTCCGCGGTGAGCTCGAGGCTGCGGGCCAGGCACTGCAGACACTCCGCGACGCGCGCTTGACACCGCATGAGATTGAGAAGGTCCTAAGCATGATGATGGCGTTCGTGAAGAACGCCAAGGCCCATCGCAACATCCTTCAAGACGTCGCCTGCGAGATTCAACAGGCTGCGCCGTCTCAGCCGCGCGAGTTTACAGAAGCGTGGGTCAACGCGATTGTGCAGTATCTCTCGGGTGACCGCGTCACGCTTGCGACGCTCCAGGACGATCCGATCTATGCAATCGATTACCTCCAGTACAGCAACCGCAACGACGCCTTTCTGCGGCTTCTCCTCGATGCGCGCATGCGCACATCCCACGTGTACATTCAAGGCCTTGACGAAGAATCCCTCGACCGGACGCTCGCGCTGAAGCCCGTCGAGACCCGCGACCGCGTGCTCACGTGTGCGCTGAACCTCGCGTCGCTCTTCAACGACAAGGCGTTCCACTCGTTCTACTCGCGCTTTGTGCGGCACAAACTCACGTGGCGCTCCAACCTCGACACGTCCGACGGCATCTTTCTACAGGATGTCCAAGGCCTCTTCCCGAAGGAGTGCCAAGTCTTCATGGTCGAGCTCATGCGCCAAGTTATCCCGGATTTGACACTCGAAGCCCTCACGATCTCGCGCCTCCGCATGGTCAACACTGGTCGCCAGGTGCGCACGTCCATGACCTTTCCGACGCCTGTAGAAGCGACGGCGTGGCACCCATCGACGTCTGTCTTCTATGGCAACCTTGCCGATCTCACGACAGAAGAGACGCTGCGGAAAAGCCTGCGTCACCTCGGCCCGATCAAGAAGATCTTCACCTTTGCTGAGCCGCGCGCGGGCGTTGCGCCACGTGTCGACGACGTCGCCACGGATGACAACACGGTCGTCGACAAGCCAAAGCCGGAAAAGAAAGGCCGCTCGAAGAAGGTCAAGACCGTGGCTCTGGAAGACGACGAGGACGAGGACGACGGTGAGATGTTGCTGGAGTCAACGTCCGCCGAAGACGAGCCCAAAGCGCGAAAGTCATCAACGCTCTCAAACGTCGTCGCGAGCGAGCGCTTGACGCCGCACGAGTGCATCGTCGAGTTCGAGTCGCCATCATCCGTGGAGCGGGCGCTCCACCCAGCGCTCAAGATCTTTGGCGTCATGGTCCCAGGTGAGAAGCAAAACCGCGCCATCTTCTCCCACGCAGCCGAGCCGCGCAAGGTCATCACGCTCCACTCGATTCCTTACTGCACGCGCATCGCAGATATTGAGACCACGCTGCGCGCTGCGCTTGGCATCGACTTTACTCTCGGCCCGAACGCACTTCCGGACATTCTCTTGATAAACGGTACAATGGAGCTAGCGTTCGAGACGTACAACGATGCGGCGTTTGTCATGGAGAAGCTGCGGCTGTACCTTGCGGCGCTCCCGGACCCGAAGGAGGTGCTGCCCATGGAGCGCAAGAGTGCAAAGGCCAAGAGCACAAAGGAGTACACGGCCAAAACGCGCAAGGAGCGCGAGCGTCGAGAAGAAGAGAAGGAAGCCGACTTGCGCCGCGCAGCCGTGCCGACCGTGCTTCTCCGCTATGACGACCCGACGACGACGTACCGGCCGTTTGAAGTGTCGTGGACGAAGCTACCACGACGCCGACGCAAGTACGACCCGTAATTGGCCGTACCAGAGACCCCGTAGAGATTAATGCCCAATTATAGAGACTTTGCAGAATACTATTTGAGGAAAAAGTGACGAAGGGAAGCGACATGTATTGAATCGGAGCACGCCGAGACGACGTTCAATTAGCGTGGTTCCAACGCACGCCAGCAACGATGCTGACCGCAACAACGACAACCAGCACATGCACGAGGACAACCCCCCACGCGGAGGGCAGCACGGTTGGCGGCTGCAATCTGAGGTGTGCATCATGACTCGACGTGACCGTGGGCGACGCTTGGCTGAAAGAGGTGTCGCCGTCATCGCTCTCGTCGCATTCCGAGGCAGGAGTTATGTCATCGGGCACTTCTGTCTGGGAGAGCTGTGCGTTCGGAGTTTCGGTGACAAGCGCAACATCTGTCTCGTTGAGAGCATTCAGGAAGACGATAGCCCACCCGAGCTGAGGCACGATCGTCGCTCCGTCTTGGACGCCGTATGCCATGTGACCCGCGAGAAGCACCGTGTCGTAGCAGCCCGACTCGTCTTCAAGCTTGACGTCGACAACGACGTACCCAGCGGGCACTTGGTCCAGGCGCAGCGTCGGGTATTTGTCCTTATCGTCATGCGCCGTCTCGATGCTCGTCCAGCTCTTCGCGCATTGCCACGCGCCGTCGTTGGCAAAGACGCAAAAGACGCAAATCCAGCCGCCGATATAGCGCGCGCCCGAGACGTCGCCATCAAGCACCATGTGTTGCCAGAAGTCCTCGTCCACGCTGCCCTCGGTTGCCGCCACGAATTTGTCGAGGATCGAGTGCAACATCTTGGCCCATCCCGGAAGACCGAGTGCCGCAAAGCGCTGAGCACGGGCACGAATGTCCATCCAGTCGGCAACCGTGCCGAGCAGTGTCACATGTGGGATCCCACACTGCATTGTGGGCATCGAGCACACGGACTCGTCCATCGACGCGAGCATGGCGACGCTTCCGATGATCGTGTCGTGCGGTGTCGATGTCGTGAAGCTGGGAAGCATCCATTCGAGTAAAGCCGGGTCGACGAGATGTGACTGCATGCGCACCACCAAGGCGGCTGCGATTTCATCATAGTTGACACTGTTGACGTCCGGGATCTTAAAGATAAGGTTGGCGCTCGAGCCAGAATGGATGATCGTCGACTTCACATCATCCGGGGCACCGTTGACGTAGCGACCGAACTGGATCATAATCGCAGCCCAAATGTCGTCCGGGCGAATTACCAAGTCGTGGTGCCCGTTGTATGCGAGCATGACCCCGTGCACAAACCCGTTTGGGCAGCACAGCTCGGTAAGTTCGTTGGCGAAGCATGCACGACGTCATCGGCGCCGAGCTCGGCCATCGCACGGACCGGCGTCTCGAGTGAAACACGACCTCCAAAGGCGTTGCGAGTGACCGGAGAGACAGCGAACGTGACCATGAGGCAGCAGATTCGAAAGTGAGTTCGAGGGCTTGTCGGGCGGTATGGGCACCCCCTTATGTGAAATTCGTACTTCAACTTCAGTCACACGGCCCCAACGCGTTAAAAACGAATCTATTTGCCAGAGCCTGCTCCGCTAAATGATGCGACTCAATTTAGTTGTGTATGCATGTTTCCACTTGGGAGCTGCGCCTCAAGAAGCTCGCGCAACAGCCCAGATCATTTTAACTTCAACTCGAGTTGGGTAGATATAGCCTCAGCAAACTTATCAACAGCTCACGAACTAAGAGCACGCAACCAATTGCCTCTAGGAGCAAGACCGTCATATCAAGATCCACATTAGTTTACCGGGTCCAAGTCGGTGCAGTGTACAACCACATATAATGCCTCGAAAAGCTTGCATGCCTCAATCAATTTATCCAGCCATGAACATCGGCACAATACTAGAATACTGCATTTCGGACTGCTGCCTTGCGCCAACACAGAGCAGCATCATTTCCGCGACTTCAAATCCCGTTGGAGCCAGTGATTTTCGGTTGGCTATTTCGAGCATCCGGAGACCAATCAGAGCCAATCGGAGCGGCATGACCTCGGCGCTCCGGCTGACCCCGCACCTCATCGAGGCCGTTGCACTGGAAGGCCGCTGCGGTATCTCTCTTCGCCAGCTGCTCGAGCGCCACGAGAGCAGTGGCGACGCAGCAGTGCGCGCAGCTTGCTGGCGCGTGCTTCGCGCATCGGGTCTCTTGCCGCCACACCCGATCGCGTTCTTTGCCGACGGCGCGCGCCTCACCGACGTTCCTGTCGCACTGGCCGATGCACTCGACATTGTAATCGTCGCCTCGGAGGATTTACGTCTGCGCGCGCTGCACGTCACGCCGTCGGGCGATCTTCCGCCGACGCAGCTCTTGATCTTGGAGACCGTCGGCCGCACGCGGGCAAAAGGAATATCTATGATGGACCTCACGACGGCCGTCTCGGAGGCAGCAAGCGGTGCGAAGAAAGTAAAGAGCAAGACGGGCGACATCCGCGCCGTGCACCACCAGCTGGACCGGCTCCTCAGCTTGAAGCTCGTCGTGAAGAAGATGCTGCAGATCCTCGGTCAAGGTCGACCGCAACGGTTCAACGTCATCTTACTCGCGCGATTTGCCAACGACTTCGACCACGAAGCGCTCTTTCCAGGTGCGATACTCGAAGACGACCTCGCGTGGAAGCAGCGCACAGTGATCGAGATGCTGCAGTACATGTCGACGCACAACGTATCGCAATGTGTTCTCGCCGATGCAGTCCGGGGCACGATCGCGGATCAAAAATACAAGCTCGAGGCCTTCAAGAACTACATCATTGCCGAAGGCCAGCGGCAGGCGTCGTCATTTCCGGTCGAAATCTTCTCAGCGATCGTCGGGACGGACACGAAGCGCAAGCTGTGGTGTGTCAAGCGCCGTCAGATTGAGCTTGAGCCAGACCCGTTTCCCGGCTTGCCGCGGTTGGGTCTCGAGTCGGGCGTCATGTACCAGATCCACCAGCTTATCCAGATCTCGGAAGGCATTACGACGCCCGAGATCCGCAGCCTTCTCGAGATCCCAGGCCCAAAGACCACGTACCGCCTACTTAGCACTGCAACGTCAGCGTACGCCGTTCGTATGACCAAGGTTGTCGTCGGGCGCAATTCGGTCTTCAAGCTCTTTCCCATGGCGCCGGACATCACAGCTCCCAAACGCAAGCGCGACAGCAGCTGTGACGAAGACGACGTCGAAGACGTGAAGCCCGAGCCAGAGCGTCGAGGGACGTGGAAGCGCCCGTGCCACGGTCACAGCTTAAAGCGCAACTCGGCAGCGATGGACGCTCCGACCGACGACACGGCGTCTCTCCGGAAGGAGCACATTGCGGCGCGCGTCGCCAAAGAGCGCATCGTGTCGCTCTACTCGCTGCGTTCGTCCATCATCGAGATGGAAAATTTCCACGAAGGCACGAAGAACATCCAGTTTATCGCGGGCCACCGCGTCGACACGCGCTCGATCCAGCGGCTCCTCGACAGCCTCCAGGGTGAAGGCCACCTCGAACAGCGCGCTGTCGCGTACCCATCAAGACGGCCTCTGTGCCCGGTACGACACGCAATGTCTCGGTGGTGTCGGCATCGGACGTGACGCCGAAAGAGCTCGACGCGTACCTTGCGCGCTACAGTCGCGACACGCGCGTGCAACGACTCAACACCAAAGCGTTCACGAACCCGCGGGTTGCAGTGCGCGACGGTCGGCTCACACAAATCGACCCCAGCGCGATCAAGTACATGATGAAGGCCAAACTCCACTCGGTGCACAAGGCTGACCTCGCGCGCACCAAGCAATCGCGCTCGCTTGGTTTGTGCCACGGTATGATGCACCGGTGTCGCGTCTTCCACCGACTTCTCTTCGAGTACCTGCACACAACGACAACAGCTGCCAGCAGCAAGGAAGATGCGCTCGCGACCTTGTTGAAGCAAGCCTCGACACCCGCCGCCATCGTCTTCTCGCTGGACGCAATGCTCGCAGCGATGCGCGTGCGCCAGTACATAGGTATTTTTGGTATCGGCCACGTGCTCACACCCGACGAATACACAACCGTGGAGCGCGCGCTGGCCGCGGACGTGACCCTTTACGCGCTTGACGACGGCCTCCGGCGTAAGGTCACGTACCGCCAGACACGGCGGTGTCTGCGACTCCTCAACATGCTCAAGTCTCTCCAGCTCGTAAGCACGTACCGGCTTCGGCTCGAGCAGCTGCTGCAACATGTACACGCCGACGACAACGCCAAGCGCAACGACGACGTCGAGGTGCTTTTGCGCGACCAAGCCGAAGTGGGCCGGAGCAACTTGCTCTTGGTGTGGCACACGCACGGTCAACTACTTCTCGACGATAGTGCGGGCGTTTGGGCGACCGAGTCGATCGGCCGCGTGATTGCGACGCGACACCAGTACTCGTTCGGCCATGCGATCCCACTCCGAATGGACTTCACCGACGTCGACAAGGTCGATCTCTACTGGGAGGCGCTGCAATGTGTTGCGCTCGAGTCGCTTTCGTTCGCGGCAGGCCCGGGCCAGGTCCAGGCCTTCCCCAAGCCGCTGGCTTTCTCGCATGTGAACCTTCTCGTCCCGATCTCGTGGACATCGCGTACGCAGTCCGAGCGCTACAAGAAACGAAAAGCGCGCGAGAAGGAGCTTCGCGCTATCATTCCCGGCTCGAGTCGCGTACCGCGGCCCCGGCGTCGATCACCGTACACAAAGCCGCGCCTCGTCAAGGCCGCCAAATGCCGTGTCGCTGTCGAGGTCGATCATGTCGACTTTACGCCCGACGAAGAAAACGAGCTTCTTGAGGCTTACTACAAACAGCTCGAAGCCAACTGGCGGGTGTCCGTGCCAGAGGACATGCAATGTGAGAACGAAAGCGTCCTCGTCCGGGCACCCCACGCTTGGCGCGTCAACTTCTCGGTCGCCACTATCGGGCGAGCGCTTCGGCGGTCGCGGCCGCCCAGCGCGGGCCCTCTTCGGCGGCGTCTCGCCGAGCTTCTTGACCAAGTGAGCTCCAAGCAAGCACTCGTGGACCTCCACAACCGCGTGTTTGGCCAGTCGGTTTTTGTTGAGGAAGACGCCGTGATGACGCAGCCGCGCATGACCGCACTTCTCAATCGTGTTTTGATGATTGTGCTGTGCCCGGACACGTCATATCTGCAAATGGCCGCGGAGCACCTGCTTCTGCACTGGACGCGCCGGGAGATCAACACAGTTTGGCGCCTTCTATGGCTGCGTGGCTGGATCGTGCACGCAACGGCTCCAACCCACCGTCAACTTCAACGCGGCTACGTTCTCTCGAGGAAGCTTCTCATGCTTTGGCGCGACGGTGCCCGGCTCCCACTCTCCATGTTTGAGGAGGCTGCAGAACAAGCTGCTGTCGTCGACGATGCGCTCGAAGATGCCGACGACAACGAAGACGGCGGGGTTCAGCTTACTGTCGGCGCGCCGCTGACGCATGCCGCGTTCGTCCTCGGCCGTTGCTCGTTTTTAGTCGAGTACAAGTCGTCGACTGTGCGGGGCTCCTCGGCAATCGCGCACAAGCGTAAGCGACCACAGGCGACAGACCGGGCGGGCTTCGGTATTGCTGGGCATCTGTACCAGCTCCAGCCACAGGACGACCCGTGGGTCGTGTCGACTATCTTCTCTCATCCGCCGCCTGAGCAGCTCTCGGACGCAATGGACGCATTTACGGCGCCGCTGCCGCTGACCAAGAAAGCCCGAAGAACCTTTGTGATCGACGACGATGCCATCCACGGGCTCCTCGGTGCCGCAGCAGAACAGGGTTGCTCCGCTGCGGAGCTCGCTCTTGCGCTTGATGTTGATGCCATCGCGGTGCGCGAGAAGCTGGAGTCGATGTCGGACGACGTGCTCTGCGTCCAGGCCTATGCCCAAGCGCGCTACGTCTTGCGGTCGTACGAGAAGTTTTGGACCGTGCAGTCCTATGTCGTCGCACCCAACAACGAAGCCATTTTCGACACCAAGTCGCCGGGCAAGGCCGCGCACCCTTGGCTCAAGCTCAGCGGCTCCACTAACGTGCAGTGGTGGACGCGCATGCAGCGATCGGCGCTGCATTTCATATTTGGTGCTCCCGGTGCCGACGACGTCGCCGTCTGGAAACACATGGACATGTTGTTGCCGCTGCAACAGGTGCGCTGTCTACTCGCACATCTCGTTGCCGAGGACGTTTTGTACGCGCGCGTTGCCGCCAAGCAGCCCAGCACACTCTTCTCTGTCGCGTCGCCCGTTGTTGGTGTACCTGACGCACCGCTCACCGAAATTGACCTCGACGAATGGACTGTGCGATATATGGCACCACCCGACTGCATCGAAAAACTCGGCATGCTTCTCCGAGACACCGAATAATCGAAACTCTTGCACGTTTTCATCCTATTGAACCGATCTGTTGGACGTAAGGCACTGGTCACTCGACATGACCCCAACACCTCATCGCTCGGTATCTTTCATTCAGAAGCAGTGTCTCCTCGCTCGTTGGATCCTACAATAATCCTGGTAGGAACGTTTACGTGGTGTGGTGTACCAGCATCCCAGGGGATTAATTCGGCGTGTCGTGTCTCAATCCGGCCAACCCATTGGCTATAATTCCAGATTTGCTGACCAATAAAACTGCGTTTCATTGGTCTCAGCCAATCGCATCGCCCGGAACGTGTCCTGTCAAGTGCGATTTGGTAGTCCCTGTTAAGTGCTGTCACATCATTCACATTAGACTCAATTTTGTATAAAATAAGTACGACGCACTTATCCGAAGTACATTTATAAGTGCGTCGAAGCCGCACCTAATAGAGCCTCCGAGCGCGCGTCGATTTCGGGACAGCGGAAGCGCGCGAAGTAGATTCGACAGCTAAATATCCGGACAGCGGAAGCGCGCGGAAACGAACGTCATGGCAAGGACGCCCTCTAGTACCATGGGGCCTCATGGGAAGCAGGTGAAGCCACGAACGGTGTACGAGGCGGAGCTCTTCCGGGAGCGGCATGCGCAGAGGATGCAAGAGACCCGAAGGAAGGCAAGACTCGCGAAGCGTAAGCAATCCGCCGCAGCGACCTTATCGACGGACGCCAACTCGACTCATGACGAAGGCGTCAAAGATGCTCTGGAAGTGCCAGGTGACCAAGATGACCCAGGTGCGATGCCACGTTGAAGACTGCAACAAGCGACGACGGCGCGTTGGCCCGGAAAAGTCTGCGCACCGCAGCGCAGCGAAGGTCGCGCGTTGACTTTTGTCTAGGCCAACGCGCCGTCGTCGCAAATACTGGTAAGCAGTGCTTAGCATTCAAAAGTTCAACTGTGGCACGTGGGCCCTGACGCCAACGAGCCTTGCGGGCCTTGACAGCTTCCAGCCGCACCGCCCTCTAGGTATCCCAATCACGCTCGGCGACGTCGCACTCTACAAGCGCTGCCATATCGTCCCGCTGAGCCCGATCTTCGCCCGCCAGCCTGGCGCCTGCTGGGCCACGTGCTGCGCCTGAAGGAAGACGTCCCTGCCA